AGGCTCCAGGCTCTGAGCCATCAGCCCAGAGCCTGACGCGGGGCTCGAACTCACGGACCGCGAGATCGTGACCTGGCTGAAGCCGGACGCTTAACCGACTGCGCCACCCAGGCGCCCGAAGTTGCAAGTAGTTCTTTATGGTTAGACATAGAAGGTAAGGTGGGAGCAGCAGGACCCAAGTAGTCAGGCAGGGGCCTGGTCATGGGGACCTTTCATGACACACAGGATGCCATCCTGTGAATGAAACAATACCCTCAAGGGCTTCAGGTGGAGGAGTAACGTAGTGATAGCTGTGTATCCGAAATATGTTGGGTGGATTGGGAAGGGGCAAGACGGGAATTTGTGAAGTCAGTTTTAAGACGCCATTGCAATGGGGAGTCTTAGCGATGATAGTTGGGATTAGGCACTGATCACGGGGATGGGTCAAGAGCGTGTCTAGAATACAAGAGTGGACATAACAGGGTCTCGTGGTCAGCTGTGGAATGCTAGGGAGAGGAGAAAATGATGGCTCCAGAGTTCTAAACTGGGTGACCAGGTGCATCATGGTGCTGTTTTGGTTGAGGTGGTTGGGTTTGGGGGGCTAGGAAGGAAAGAAAGAAAGGTAGGGATAATGAGTTCAGTTGACCGTAGTGTTAGACATGGTGCATTTGAGGTGTTTATGAGATGCTTAGCTGGAGATGTTCAGCAGGTGGCTGGGTGCACAGTGGAGTTACCTGTCGTTAGCATAGTGAATGATGCAAATCCAACTACACAGTCAGCAAATAGATGCATTGTCCATGTTCCTGTCCCCTTCCTCACCCCTGTGATTTGTCCTGGGATCAAGAGTGGAGCATGTTATTTAGGCCTAATGTGAATTGCGTTTTCCTGCCCATAAACTAGTAATTGGTTTGGGGTGAGCCCTTGATTCAATTTGTGTCAATGAGAAGCCATCGAAAACATCGAGATTTATGCTGGGAATCCTGGGAACGATTCTAATGGAAGAATTTGCCAGCGCTATAGCTTCGGTGGGCATCTTTAGACTCACACGAAGAGGATTTTTGACAAAGGAGAAAATGTGAAGGAGCAAGGGAGAGAGGAGAGACAGCGAGAGAAAGGAGAGGTGTAGAAAGAAAATGTGGTTCGAGTCACATTATTTGAGCCCTGGTCAAGCCAGGTCTGGGCTTCTCACTCTTGGAACCAACACATTTCTTTTTATTTTTCTTTAGTCAATCAGAGCCAGGCTTTCTGTCACTTACACCAAGTGGGTCCTGTCAGCACAGAGCCCCATGTGGGGCTCCAACTCAGGAACTGAGAGATGATGACCCGAGCGGAAGTCAGCGCTCAATTGACTGAGCTACCCAGGCGTCCCCAGGAATCTGTATCTTACTAAACTTTCAAGGGACTGGGATATACACCAAAGCCTGAGGACCTCTGCTCCTAGACTATCTCTGAGTATTGCCAAGTACGCGATTGCCGGATGGTCATATAGGGTGCATGTGGAATTTGGAGGATGTTGGTGTCAAGGGAGACTTGTGAGATTTTGTGATATAAGTTGAGACACGGGGCTGGGTTTTTCTGGATCAAAGTGCAGTGATCTGTGAGTTCACGTTTCTTTTCTAGAGATTGTAATAATCGATTAGATACCCTTGTTCACCGCTATTTAATCCTACTGATGCCTAATGAAGTGCAACACATTGGGGCAGAGTGTGATCAATGAGGCAGCATCGCACGTCTCCAAGTAAAATGGAGCGGGTGAAGGTGGATGTCTTCTACCTATGATGGGAAATGAAACCCTTCAATGACTGATCCCCATTCTACTTAGGGCTTGTCCAGGTTGGGAGCTATGAAGGGATCTGAATGATAGGGGACCCTTAGTATTCCTTCGGGTACATTTGGGAGATGCAGAAATCCAGTACTTTCCATTAAGACAGAGAGGGGGATGATCTTCAAGAAGGGCTGGGTTGGTTTATTCGGAAGTGAGAAGTCTGTACCTCCCTGCTCTAGGTGCTTTTGTCTTTCTTTAAGAAACGCAAACGTTAACGTAATGGAAAAATACGGGCTTGGAAGTGATGTAGCCTGAGTTCGAATCTTAGGTCTATCACTTAGTTGCTATGTGACATCAGGTATGGAACCCAAACTGTCTAAGCCTCAATTCCTATTGAGAAAATGGAGATAGTAATCTTCCGTGGTTGTCATGAGGTGTAGAAGGAATCTAAGAAGGACTTGGCATGTACAATGTACTCAGGCGATTTTCCCCTCCTCTGATGCCCTCTATTAAGCTCCCACAGTGTCATCTGTTCCCATAAACCCACTGTCCTAATATAGCTCTTCTGCATCTCAAGTCCCCTACTCCTGCCAGATCTGTCCCCTGCCAAATTCCCAAGTCTCCAGAATTACTCTCTCCTCTAAAAATAACGCCCCTTTTCAAAGGTAGGCAGGTTTGACTAGTCATCACCATATAAAGGGGGTGATGTTCCAGGTGAACTTGACTGACCAAAGCCCCCCCCCCAACCGGGCCGAGCCCCCGGCTGGTAATGAATGCCTTGTCTTTCCCAGGCTCTGCAGGAGCAGATTCAGTCCCAAGACTCTCCAGTTGGCGGGTACAAGGAGATGGTTAGGGCAGGCAGGTGCTTCTGGGACCCTCTCTTGTGCATTCTTTTCTGGCTCATTCATTCACTCATGCAATGAACATGCGGGGAGTCCCGGTCATGCTAACCAGGAACTGTGTGAACTCTAGGGGATAGAAAGGTGAATCAGACAGTCCCGGAATTCAAGAAGCTCAGATATGGAGAGCAGACACCCAAGCAGACAGTTGGCCTTCAGGAAGGCTTGAGTCTTAACAGATTGATAAACAGGTGAAGACGAGGCAGGAGAGGGTCTATTAGGTCAAGGGACTGGCATTAGCAATGCCAGAGATTAGTCACAGGGTAAGCATGGGAGAACCCCCGGAAGTTGCACTGCTGGCTGGTGAAAGTTGAGAAAATGTTTGAAAAGGAAGTTGAGAGTTAAGCAGAGGCCCACTAATTTTGTCCAAGGGATGGGGAGCCCCTTGGCGTGTTCACTACTTAGTGCTCAGGGGGTGGCCGATCAGATTTAACTAGATTTCTAGCTAAAACTTCTCGAACGCTTACCCCGGTGCCAGGCACCTCGCGAGGCACCGTATGTTAGAATTATTTGATATGGGTTTCTTTGGCTTTGAGTGGAGGATGGGCACAGGCAGGGTGGGGAGGTGACCAGGCAGAGGCAGTGGGCCGCTGTGTGGAGACGGCGGCATGAAGGCAGCCTGAGAAGGCAGGAGGGCCACAGGCTAGGACGGAGGGCCCGAGCTGGGCAGGGAGTGGTCCACGGGGGTCCCAACTGGGGGTCAAAGTGGAGTTTAACCCTGGACCCTGAATCTGAAGATCCATATGTATATGGCCCAAGGTTGACCTCTCTCCTACCGGGTGATGTCTTGCTTTTTCCGGGCAGGAAACCTCTCCCCGGTCACACACATCTCCATTCCATCCGTAAATCCCTTTCGGGGAGAAAAGCCCTTGGCGACAATGGCTTCTCTTCATTCCGGGCACCGACAGCCTGACAACCGGCAGAAGCGGCCGCGCCGCGGCACGAGCAGCTGAGCACCCATCCGGTGAGGTCCGGGCGCCCTTAAAGGCGGTGAATTTCGGTTGTGCGGCTTTTGCACAAAACCAAAAGCCCCAGAGCGGTCATCTCTCCCGCAGAGGTGCTGGCCGCGACAGACGAGCGCGGTGGAAGCGCGGGTCTCAGGTCGCGGGCGCTGCCGGGGCGCCGTGGTCCAGCAGGGGGCAGCATTGAGACATTAACGAGGGGAGCGACCGGCGCCGCGCAGCGCAGCCGCAGGGCCCACGCTCGTCCTGGGCGCTAACCTTTCAAGCAATTCCCGGGGGAGCCCTTCCTGCCCGGCGGAGGCTGCCCGAAAACGAGCAGGCGTTAAGAATGAAATATGAAGCAATTCCCTTCCGCAGAATGAAAATGAACTGTCATTTAGTAAATTATCAGTTGATGACACATTCTTCCAGCTTAAAGGTGGTTTTTGTTGAAGTGCAGGGGGCAGTTGAAGGCTTTTTGCCCCGGCGCCCACCCCAGAACACCAAGCACTGCGTGTGTGCGAGAAAGGTCGAAGGCTGGAAGCAGGGACTGGGCACCCGGGGCGCAGGAGAGAAGGGATGCGGTTGCGTTAAGGATGCTGAGGACGCAGGCACGTTTCCAGTCAGGCTGTGATCAGGTAGAAGGCGACATAGCCTCACAGCATGATGAAGGGAGCTGGGAAGGCAGAAGGTGACGGGAAGCAGGCAGGATGCTCTTCCCATCGGAGACCTGTGTCTCCTTCCGTATTGATTCTGCATCAGCGGAAAATGTTTAGCGTTTTCTTTGTCCTTCTTCACCTCCTTTGACCTGCCGTCCCTCTGCCTGCTTCCCAGCGGAGCTGAGGGTACCCTGGGCGTACCCTCAAGGTTGAACAAGGCCCCGAATGCCTTCCTATCTGGCCGGAAGGGTGGGACCGTTTCTTTCTCCCATTCTCTGTGTGTTCACACAGTGGATGCTGAGTCAGTGTTCCACAATCTGAACTGACCGCCAGCAGAGTTCTTGCAGAAAGCATGTTGAGATTGTGTCCGCTAGGGTCCCCAAGCTGTCAATATTAAATCGGTTTAAAGGGGCATATTTATGGGATCCAAGAAGGGACACATAAGCCCAGTTGGGCAAACTGAGTAAAACCCTGTGAGGCCCTCTTCCCTTAGCCCAATGGAATACTAATGATATCCCTGGGCAAAGGTTCCTTGCTGCTATAAAAAACTGGACTCTTCGCTGTTCCCGGTGTGCTTTATTTCTTTGCAGATAGTACTGATTATTTCTTCTGGACAATTACCCTCAAATCCCCAATTTTCCCCATACTCGTGGTCTTGTTATAAGTGAAAGCCCCCTTGTCTGATAATCATGAGGGCTATAAAGAGCCTACTGCGAAGTGATTTGGACTTGAAGAGAAGAATTTCCTCTGTCCTTTTAGAAGTGGTGAATTTGGCGGGTTGAATCAAATTCCTCCCTGATACAGGCAAAGGAGATGTTTGTAAGCAGCCTAAGAACCCAAAGCATATTTAGGAATATGCACCTTGATTTTTCTGTTTGAATTAAAATATTTTGAAAAGTATTCGTGTGGTGTCAGAATGTGAGTCATGAGAGTGCGGGGACATCCAGTGACTCAGGCACCTCAATCCTTGTCACCGAGGGAACTGGACTTTGTGATCAGAAGAAACTGGGTTTAAAAGTCAGCTCTGCCTTTACTTATTTCGTTCTTTTTTTTTTTAAGTGCATTTATTTATTTTGAGAGAGAGGAGGGGGGAGAGACAGGCAGAGAGGGAGAGAGAGAACCCAAGCAGGCTCTGCGTGGTCACTGCAGAGCCCGATGCGGGGCTCGAACTCGTACTGTAAGATGGTGACCTGAGCCAGAATAGGACGCTTAACCTACTGAGCCACCCAGGTGCCCCTACTTATTTCATTCTTTCACCTATTTGAGTTCATCTCAGCTCCTCTTTTCTCAAAGGTAAAATGAGGTAATAATAACAGGTGTCTCATCATGTATACAAGTGCATATAAAGTCCAATAAGGTAGGTGAAATACATGCAACTTAGTGGGTCCTTCATATGATCAGCACCCTCTTTTCTTCTCCTTCTCCTTCTTTCCTTCAGTCAAATACCCTCATCAAAAGGAGCATAGGTCAACATAGAGACAAGGAGAGCCTTACCTTCTAACCTCAGTTGTAAATAAATCACTTAAGTGAAATCACACATACACACATATATATATTTCTGTCACTATCTATATGTTGAATATTGGTCAACTAGCCAGTGTTTTTACACACACACACACACACACACACACATTTATCACACATAAACCTATAGGCCACACACTCTCTGTCTCTCTCCTCTCTCTCTCAGATAATACAGTTGACCCTTGAGCAACATGGGGGTTAGGGGTGTTTCCCCCAGCTCTCCCCCCCCCCCCAGCTCCCTGTAGAGTCAAAAATCTGCATATAACTTTCAACTCTCCAAAAACTGCTACTGACCAGAGCCTTACTCATAACGTAAAATCAATTAACACATATTTTGTATGTGTATTATATGCCATATTCCTACAAGAAACTAGAAGAAAAGAACGTTATTAAGAAAATACATAGGAGCGCCTGGGTGGCGCAGTCGGTTAAGCGTCCGACTTCAGCCAGGTCACGATCTCGCGGTCCATGAGTTCGAGCCCCGCGTCGGGCTCTGGGCTGATGGCTCGGAGCCTGGAGCCTGTTTCCGATTCTGTGTCTCCCTCTCTCTCTGCCCCTCCCCCGTTCATGCTCTGTCTCTCTCTGTCCCAAAAATAAATTTAAAAAGTTGAAAAAAAAATTAAAAAAAAAAGAAAATACATAAAGAGGAGAACTAAGGAAGAAGTGTAGTTATTGAAAAAAATCTGCGTAGAAGTGGACCCACATAGTTCAAATCCATGTCCTTCAAGGGTCACCTGTATATAGAAATAGGTATTAGATGAAGAGAGCACTACCTACTCCCACAAAACTCTTCTGTGAACCCCAAGTTACAAAGAATACTTCATTTGTTCGCTTATTTTAGTTAGTTACCTTTGTGCAGAATATCAGGAATGGATACACCCCACTGGATAATTTTGGATACGTTTGATATGTTCGATGCTTGCTTCCCACCATAGGACGGGAGGTGTGGTTGTCTAGTCCTGCTGGGACCGGAGAGAGCCCAGTCCTCCATGTGGTGGTTGCAGAAAGCCTGTCTCTGCTCACAGCCGAGCTTCTGAAAGACTCCTAATTGTAGGCGGCCATCTTCCCTTTACTCTCTCCTCAGAGTTGGGTCTGGCTGTTTTCCTCAAGACTCTCTCTTGTGGTGTGCTTTCTCAAGTGTCCAGTCTCACCTCTGGATCCTAACCCCTTGTGAAGTCCTCTTGGTAACTTGCATGACAGCTGGGACCCAGCCTGCCACAGGCAAGTGGCCCTCACTTGAGTCTCACTGGCTGATTGGGAATCATCACCAGGAAATCAGGGGACGGAGCAGTCTTGCCTGTCTCTTACCATCTTAAAGTCTGGAGACAGGTATATGAAGCCATTCCTACTCAGAAGTATGTTTCCTTTCCTCTTTCTGGTCTGTCCTTTGTGTAGGGTCTGGCCTTCAGGGGAGCTGTTGAAGCAGAGGGAAGCAGGGCTCTCACACCTGACCTCTCAATTTTAACTTTTGAGAATAAAACCTCCATTAGCATTGGAAAGGGGGAAACTCATACCTTCTTTAATGCCCAGAGAGATTGTTCCTTTCTGCCTGGTCTCATCTAGCAATACGTCCATGGAAGGGAGTCCACACTTTTCACAGACATTTTTGAATGGACATACTTTCATTAAAATGAGGACAATGGGATTGTCTCCCTGGGCAAATTAAGCTGGAGAGTTTACTGAAATAGTTTACCGAAGGGCCCAAATTAATAGCATTTTTTTTTTGTTTGAATTACCTGAACTCGATGCATGAAATTTTTTTTCTCTTCAGCTATTCCAGTAACATCAATTCTCAGCTTCACTTTGTGTGTGGTCATGATCTTTAGATTTGAACTCGTTTGAAATCCTCAAACAGAAAGAAATGAGGGAAAAACCCATCACACTCACCAGGAAAGACCAGAAGCCATAATCTCAATTTTGAATAAGAGATATTAAAAAAAAAATCCATCCACTGATGTGAAAATGTTAGGGTTGGCATGCAGTTGGCTTTCTGAAATAGTGACTCTTGATATCTGGTAAACACAAAGATCTTCTGTATCATTTACATCCCCAAACTATGTTTACACCTGTAGTTTCGGGTGTGTTTGGACCAGATGAAGAGCAGCCCTCAGCTCACTGACTGGGGTCCTGGCCAGTCCTGAGCGAGCCAGGCTATGTTCCCTATTTTTCCACTCTCTTGACACTTCTGCTGTCTCCAGGCTTCTCAATCACTGACCTGTCCCTTCTGACAAGGCACCCGAGTGCCCACAGCTGGGAACAACTGTGGTCAGTGGATATCGACAGGTGACGTTACCTTTTCCTTACGTGGCCCCCAATGTAGTTAGCTAGGATGCCTTTCCATAATAAATGTGCTAAGTAGGTGTTATAAATTCCTACTTACACATGGGGAAACCGAGGCACAGAAAGGTTCACTAACCAGCTTAAATTCCTGTCCTGGGTAGTGGAAGGGCTTCTGATTTAAGCGTGAGGCGCTTCTCCCTTGACAGTTTTCCCAGACCTATCGCTCATATTACACAATTCCAAAATGCTTGCTTCTTTTGCTTCTCATGATGAGTTTCAGCAATATACTGCTTGGTTCTTTATGCGTGAAGGCCACCATCACCATCGACAGCAGTTCTCAAATCCTCGTTTTCTTGCAATATGCCGTTATATTGGAAAAAATATGCATGATACTTTAGGTTTCTATTAGCTAGATTTTGTTTGTGAAATTTATATATATATATATATATATATATATATATATATATATATATATTAAAGGGGGAATAGTAAGGGCGCCTGGGTGGCTCAGTCGGTTGAGCATCCAACTTTGGCTCTGGTTATGATCTCAAGGTTCATGAGTTCAAGCCCCGTGTCCAGCTCTGTGCTGACAGCTCAGAGCCTGGAGC